GCATTGTTCAACTTTGCATTCAACTTTTGGTTGAATGGCCTTTCAACTAATCGCTTTCAACAAAGTTGGTCGCCAGCCAACATTTAGCCATTGCTCTGGTGCCGTGGGTCATTCAGCAAATAATGGGGTAGATAACCTCGTTATACCACACTGATTAGTTCTACCACAGGGTGATGATTTTTTTTTGAAAAATCGTCTGGCAACATCAAGATTAATTTCAGCTGTCACCAGTTGTCCCTGTGAAGAAGTCGTCGATTTTATTGAAAAAAATTCATTTGTGTTTGGATTTTACTATTGAAGATACGAAAAATGGCTGCCATTCTTTCACAAGCTTTTCGACGTCAAATCTCTATTAGCTTCAACAGAGCTGCAGTTGAAACTGCTGCCACCGCTGGTGAACATTCTGGTGAGTAGAAATACCAGAAACTTTCGTAACCTTCCTTGCGGCCAGAGTGGAGGAGGAGGTTAGCCAAGTGGGAGGTTATGTAATTTCGCTTATTCTTAAAATGATCAAACTTACCGGAATTCATCCATTTTAGGTGGTTACAAAGTTTGGAAGCGTCTTTCATTCTTTGTAGCACTTCCTGCTGTGGGACTTTGCATGTTGAATGCCTACTTGAAGCATCAAGAGGAACACGACCACCCGCGCGATGAATTTGTAAAATACGATTATTTGCGACGCCGGGAAAAGCGATTCCCATGGGGTGATGGCAACAAAAGCCTATTCCATAATCCCCATGTCAACCCACTGCCTGATGGCTATGAAGATTAAGTCGTATAAATGCAACATTGCTGTAGCCGAGTTGAGGAGAGCCATATTACGGGTCTTAACATTACTTCGCGTCATTCGTCGCTTTTAATTGATTTGATTTCTTTAAAAATTTAAACAATGATTTCGATTGATAAATAAATACATAACAATTCGATCGTAAATCTCGATTTTCTACACCCTAGCTGTTCCGGGTTCAGAGGTAGCTTTTGTATAGATTTCATGAAAAATCAGACTTAAGATGCATTCAGCAATATACTCTTGTATGAGACACCTGTGCAATAAAAAATTTGTAAACTGGAATTTATGTCTTCCACATCTTCTAGAGCACATACATATGACACTTTCACGACGGGCGGTTCTATCTACCGGTAAATCCACGGGGTGGAGGGGGAGTCGTTGTTTCGGCGGGCATATCTACAAAAAAAATTTAAATAACAGGAGAAAGAAGAATGTATTAAAGGTAAATTCGGGTTTTTACTAAAAAGTTCATTGCTCCTACGTGATGCTACATATAAAAGTAAAAGATAACTAAAAAGGCGTGGCTGGAGCAATTACCGTGCCAATTCTAGTAATCCATATCAAGATGCACCTCAACTTGTTTTGAAATGTTATTAGACTACTGTGGCCCTCAGGCCTCAAATGAGACCGTGTTACTTTTTATGAAAGATCACGATCTACGCAGAAATTTGGGCGTCCCTAGAGTATTTGAGCAAAAACGGTTACTTTTTATGAAGGAGCATAAGTTCTGCAAGTAAACGATTCTGCCTACATCAGCATTTCAGCAGATTTCCAGTTGTGCACCAGCAAGTTGGCAACAAAGTTGTAATAGTATTGTAAGTATTCTTATATTTAATTTCGCAACATATAACCAAAATATTAATTCAGATAGTACATATGAATGTATATAAAGATGGTTCATTAATTTATTTTGATGATTTTTGTGTAAGGATCAAATTTCCGTCCTTGATGCGTAAACGTCCTTGCTTAGCCATAGCTGCGGCTTCTGCTTTTGTGACAACAATTTTCTGTACTCTCATCCTTTTCTCATTAAATTTCATTTTGACAACCTTATTACCCGAATGCTCGGTCTCGGTCCCTGCGATCAATTTGTCTGTATCTGGTGTTGCCGATACAATAGCAGTCGATGTGCTTCCTCTCCTTATTGTGGTCTTCCTTTGGTGTGCAGTTTTTGAACCTTTGCTGGTGGAAGCAATACTACCTTCGACATTGTCGTTTTTCTGCGCTACTTTCACTTGATTTGTGGTAGATACACCAATATTTGCTGAGCTTCGATTCGCACCGACATTTCTAGGTGACTTTCGAGTGTTTTCTGCTATATTTTCTACATTGCCGCTTGGTAGTTCGCGTTTCATTGTTACATCTTTGTTTACAACTTCGTTTGCTACATTAATTTCGTCATTAACTTTAATTTTCTTACTAACTGGTTCATGGTCTTCGAGCATTTGGTTAAGTATCTCCGTATCGATCGCATTATCAAGTTCCTCTAATTTAAGGTATTCCACGTCGTAATGTGATTCTTCTTCGGCAATCTCTGTTTTAGTTACTTCAACGGTTTGTTGGCTAACATCGGCTGCAACTTAAAGAGTAATTTAAAATTCAATACAGAGCGCAACATTGGCCTAAGATCCTACTTACCTTCACCAGCGTTGGTTGTAGTAGGGAATTCATTGCCTGTGGGCATATTATCATAAATAAACCCCCCCATCGCTTCATCTAACTCTTCATCACTTCCCTTTTTCATCTCGCGTTGGTTTTTCCTTTCATCTTCGGCGTAAGCTGCTAGTTCTGAGGGGTGAGCTGTTTCTACATGATATTTTTTTTCATTATAAGTAAGGAAGATTAAATCGCAGAATTCACAAGCGAACGCGTCATTATTAGTATGTTCTTTAATATGGGCTGTTACTGATGCAACATCTTCGAAGCATTGTTGGCATAGGGGGCAAGTTAGTGTTATAGTTGCATGTACAGTACAATGCAAAACGAGTTCGTTGCATGTCTTGAATTGCTCTTGACATTCGTTGCATGAATACATAACAACGCTTTCATTATGAGTACGCATGTGGCGCGACAAGTGATGCGATAGCAAATATGATTTTGAACAAAATTTGCACGGAAACGGTCGCTCTCCTGCATGTGCTACCAGGTGACGAGCTAATTTAGAAGGTGTGCAGAAACTTTTATCACAGTATTGACAGTGATGTGGCTGTTCGGTGGAATGCACTACCTGAAAATTTTAATTAACCATGTACAACTAAACTGAAATAGCACATATTGCAATCTAAACTTACCTCGTGACGTTCTAAACCTTGCTTAAAAGCGAATGCTTTAGAGCAAATTTTGCACTTGAATGGTCTGTTCTTACGATGGCGCTCAGTGTGCTTTTCCATATCATCCTTGGACAAGAATGTCTTCTCGCAAAATACACAAAGAAATTTGGGTATGTCGGTATGTATTTTTTCATGTCTATGCAATAGTGCAGGTCTAGTGAAACCTCGATAACAAACTGTACACTTGTACTTGCGTTCGCCCGTATGTATTGGGGCATGCTTTTGAAGGTCATATTTGGAAAAGAACGAACGGTTGCAATCTGTACATGGAAAATGACGTTCACGTGTGTGGTTCACGACATGGATGTCACGTAGCTGCAACAAGGGAAATGTGCGCTCACAGTGAGGGCATGGGAAAACATTTGTTTGAACGGGAGCTGCATTTTTTATGGGATCTGGTTCAGGTTCATAGGGCTCATTTGGATCGAGTATTTCAGTAACAATAGAAACATTGCCATAATTGTCTTTCTTCAGCTGTGGGTGTTTAAGTCGTGGCTCCAGTTCTATATCAGCTTCCTTATTCAATATGCGTATGGAAGATTTGTTTAAAACTTTTGGTTTATTTTTTTGTTCTTTCACAGTTGAAGTATCTGGAGTAGTTAGAGTGATTTCTTTGAATGCCACATCGTTTGTGGTGAATTCAAGTTCTTCAGAAGCAATTAAACGTTGCACATCGTCTAAAGAAATTTCTTCGTTATTTTCTACTTTTGTTAGGAAACAAAAAGCTTCATCGCGATTCTCTTTTTTAAAACGCATTGGCATGGGCGGCTCCGGCAAATCGGCAGGATTGGAGTTAAGTATTTTTCTAGGCGTTGACATTGAAGTGTATGTTTTAACACTAGCTGCCTTTGATCCGCCTACATTAGCACCGTATTTCAATGGCGACAGCTGTTCTTTACTAGCTGAAGGCAAAATATACACTTCTTGTACTATCGGTCCATCCTCTTTGTGCGGAGTGATTGGTTTTGGTAAAAGTTCCTTCGGTATAATTGGTTTTATTAAGGGGGCAGGCCATTCTCCAAGAAGTGGAACTTGGGTTAATAAATTTTCGGCCTTCTTACACATTTGTTTGAAGCGATAGCAATAATCAAATGTCAAACGGCATTTCAAACATACCGATGAAGGCATCCCATCATTTAGAAATACCTACAAAAATAAATAAGAAAAGAAAATATAAATGCAGTTATTTATTTTGGTTAAGAATTAGGCACTATTTACACTATTTTGAAATAACTTAACAATAATCTGATTTACATATACTAAGTTTATGCGTAGGCCAATTCACGAAATAATTTATCATCACTCATTGTAGTTGTAATGAAGCAGTGTTTGCATTATTCAACTTTCACAGGAGGTTAGCTGAATCAAAAGTTGAACGAAAGTTGGATGCCGACCAATTTCTTTCGAAGCGATTTGTTGAAAGGCCGTTTGCACTATTCAACTCTCGCATTCAACAAAAACTTTAACAATGCAAACGCTGCTTAACATTGCAATTTTTTATATGCATTTTCTGTAGTAATTATACCAGGGAGCCTCTGTTACATCCCAGATGATCACATTCCAAAAGTGTAAAAAATGCAAGAGAATGCTTCCGGAGCCACATTTCCTGGATACAGTATCGTCCATTTTGGATAGCACAGGGTGATTGATATGTGTAAAAATAACGAATTTTGTTTACATGCATTTTTGTCATTGTATCACACTGCAAGTTCCATTTCTTGAGCTAACCTTGAAAAATGTTGCCAAGCGTCTTTTTTTGGCAAAAAATAATTCAATGCTTACACGAAAAAAAATCCATAAACTTTTCACCGTCTTTGATGCCTCAGCTTTTATTGATATTTAGACAAAGGCATTGAATATGTAAAATATGTATGCGAAGATTAAAAAAAAAAAAACTAAATATCATGGCATATTGAACAGGTACATAATACCACCAGAGCAAATCATGCTGCGTATATTTTAATGTTCATTTTGTACTGTTCAAAAGGTAAACAAAATTTGACAATTTATAGTAAAATGTAAATAAAAATTACCCCACTTCGAATGAAAAAGTTAAACTTATTTGGATAGTTAATTATTTTTTTAATTATCACCTAAGAAAAAAAAGTACATGCTGCAGTCGGGGAGAAATATTTTAAAGAGTGTGTGACCGGGGCCTTCTCCTAACTCAAGACAAATTCATATAAGGTGGTAGCAATAATGCAAAAAAATGTTTATGTATGTATTTCGGTTTTCGGTCAAGCTGTCAAATCAGTAAAAGCAAAAACAGAAGACTTGTAATGCGCGAATGAAAGAGCAAGAAACCAGCTTGTCTAATTATACCACATAAATTCACCTTGACTTGACTTATCCCTTTTTAGCGCATAAACACAAAAACGCAACACTGTTTCGGAAATTCCGATAACAATTCCATTTCATTGCAACAAAATGCGCGGCGTCTCGCCTCATGTGTATTTATCAGTTTTTTGCCTTCTTCCTAGCAAACAAGTGTAGTGTTGTTTTTAACGTTGGTTGATATTTTATGCAATTGATTGTTCGGCACGTTGCTTTTGTTTGTTGCTTTGAATTTACAGTAGTAGGAGCATTATTAGTATTAAACGTACTGACCTCTAGCAGCAGAGTAATCGCTAGCTACATACGGGCACGGTTTGTAAAGTGGTCTATCCATTTTGGGTAGAGAATTGTATTGTGAAAACTATTTTTCATTCGAATATGAATTAAATCTAAACGAATTTTAGACCACAACTGCTGCGCACTTACACACGAACTAGAAACTCTGTAAATATTTTTGGAGGTTTTTGTGTAGAGCGCATTACCTAGATCTCGGATCGAAATTCATAAATCATACCTGCAGAGCAAAAACTACGCAGATTTTTCAATATTGATATACAAATGTATGTATGTATATGTATGCAAGAAGAGACTGATTAAAAGGGAAAACCTGCAATTGAAAACGAAATAACGTGATGACGGACGAATGCATTTCCATAAAGTACGACATTTGTGGAAAGGACAAAACAGGCATACTAATGATGGGTCGTGATAAGCTAGATGCACAACCAACGGGACGGGAGAAATGCGCGGGCGGAGAAAACAATTTGATTGGATCCAATGGAAACATTGACGATGCTAGTGCAGGGTAAATATTAATCGCTTGCGCGCACTGCCGTGCGCTGTGATAACTTAAACTCAATAATTATGATGCAAAATATTTCGATACTTGCGCGTCGCACACAAATAACGATATTGATAAAAGCAAATGCAACGATTTGGTATTTTTAGTTGAGCGTATGCATGTATTATAATTTTATTTAGGTTAACTTTTTCAGCTTATATTGTACTGATAAGCTCAAACATTTTTGTGGTCTAACGGAGATATTTTGTTTTTCTTACTATAAAGATTGAACAAATATACCGCGTATATGCCCACTGAGCGTCATGCGAGCGAATACAACATGAATCATAAAAATCGAGGTCTTGCCTTAATTTTCAACCATGAATATTTCGATATTCCATCATTAAAATCGCGACAAGGTACAAACGTCGACTGTGAAAAGTTAGGAGCTGCCCTCAAAAAGCTTGATTTTCAGGTAGACATCTATAAAGACTGTAAATTGAGAGAAATTCTCAAATATGTCGATAAAGGTATGCACATATTTTTTTTACGATTTGTATTTATTAAAAATATTAAAATTTCAGCTGCTTCTCAGGATCACACCGATAACGATTGTATTGCCGTCGCCATACTATCACATGGGGAGCACGGCTACCTCTACGCCAAGGACGTTCAATATAAATTAGATACTATTTGGCACTACTTTAGCGCACATACTTGCCCTACTCTAGCGGGAAAGCCCAAATTATTTTTTATTCAAGCCTGTCAGGGCGACCATTTCGACCCTGGAGTACTCATGCGTAAGACTGAAACCGATGGCGAAACATCTATGAGCTATAAAATTCCTGTTCATGCCGATTTTCTTATTGCCTATTCAACCATACCAGGCTTCTATTCTTGGCGTAATACCACTAATGGTTCCTGGTTTATGCAGTCACTAGTGGATGAATTGAATGCTAATGGGAAAAAACACGATATTTTAACCTTGTTAACATTCGTCAATCAGCGTGTTGCAGTCGACTTTGAGTCTTGCGTGCCAGATTGTCCGATAATGCATCAGCAGAAACAAATTCCATGCATTACGACAATGTTGACTCGTATCTTGCGCTTTACCGACAAACCATCTAAAGGCGCTTAATTCAAAACATACCATTTGGACACGTGGCACAAATAGCAGGTGTCTGAAATTCTTTACACATTACAATCATCATTGCAAAAATATATGTACTACACGCGTATGCACGCATGGTACATTACATATATGTGGTAAAAGGAGTTGATAGATAATCATTAAGCAATCATTACATTGTACAACTGCGACAGAGTACACATTTTAGTGTGTATTTAAAGCTGAGACTGAACTGCTCCCCATTTTCATTGCTTTAATTTTGCCATTTAACTGAATTTAAATGTATTTTTGAAGACGTTACATTATAATCATAAGCGTATTTTTTCTAAAATAATGAATTAACTTGAATTAAAATAAGAAATTGTATTACATACATACATACATATTTAGTAGACTACTTTTTGGTGGTGTGCGTCTTTGATTTTTCTCGGGGGGCTGGTTTTGAATGAAATGTTTGAACTTAAAAGTTTCTTCAACTAGTTAAAAACATATTTTGTCCATTGTGGCACTTAGTACGACGTTGATGTGGCCGTTCGCCAAACTATCGGATCTAGGTAATCGGAAACAACTGATGTANTGTTTTGAATGAAATGTTTGAACTTAAAAGTTTCTTCAACTAGTTAAAAAACATATTTTGTGCATTGTGGCACTTAGTACGAAGTTGATATGGCCGTTCGCCAAACTATCGGATCTAGGTAATCGGAAACAACTGATGTACATATATGATATGTATAGTAGTTATCTGCCTATGGCCTGCGCCCCATCAAAATTTCCTAAAGCTCTTGCCCGTGCTGCGACAACATCGGTATTGTAGCTGCACTTTGTCTTGACCGAGTTCCGCCAACAAGCTGTCAGTCCATAAACACCTACACGGACAACCCCCAAAAACAATAGGAATATCCACGCTTTTTAATGGTAAGTAGACCTGTGTGTTCAATGAACAAATTTATAAATATAAACAGCTTCAAANCATCGGTATTGTAGCTGCACTTTGTCCGCAGTGAGCGAAGATTATTGTTCTTGACCGAGTTCCGCCAACAAGCTGTCAGTCCATAAACACCTACACGGACAACCCCCAAAAACAATAGGAATATCCACGCTTTTTAATGGTAAGTAGACCTGTGTGTTCAATGAACAAATTTATAAATATAAACAGCTTCAAAGTGGATCTAAAATTTTATTCAAACTAGTAGTTAATATTTGGCGCGGAATTTAGAATTGCCACATTTTTTCCTGTATATGCATTAAGCAGGGATCATAACAAATCTATTTAGGAAACAAACCAATTTCGCGGTTAGACAATGTTCGAAATNCATTTTTTCCTGTATATGCATTAAGCAGGGATCATAACAAATCTATTTAGGAAACAAACCAATTTCGCGGTTAGACAATGTTCGAAATTTATCACAATTATTTTCCTTATGTTTATTGCAAGTAGATTACTTACCTCTATAGAGGCCACAGCCATTATTTCCACCGGCAGCGGGAATAAAGATTTAACCGGACTATTCTTTGCATATATGTTAGTGAGATCGTCGGTCGTTTGAGAAAGACAAAAGCGACAAATTGCTTTGGCTTTTAACTCTGCCGTCAGAGCTTCTCGCTGCTCCTCGTTGGTTGCCATCACTTTTGCACACTTTTAATAAGCACTTTTGTAATAAACCCACGAATTTAAAAAAA